TCTATAAGATGAATGTAATAATAGACATGTGGAAGTGGTGAAATTGATGAAATACATGTAAAGCAACTTTAAAAATGAATAAGAAAAGAAGACAATAAATAATAATGAAACAGCATGAAATTTAGTGGCACCTTTGACCTGATTCACCCGAGTGAACCAATCTAGTTTTCAACAATTGCTGGTAGGGAATGGTTGCATATGCCTGTAATCCCAGCTCTCAGGAGGCTGAGGCAGGAGGATCATTACGAGTTCAAAACCAGCCTGGGCTACAAAGTGAGCTCAAGGCCAACCTGACCCTGTCTCAAAAAGCAAACAAACAAACAAACAAAACAATTACAATAGTATATGTGGTTGTTCTGTTGGGTTTGTATAATGCTTAGGACACTTATAAAATCAGGTGTATTAAACTGGGAGTTTAGTGAAATGATTAGAAGAAATTGAATAGGTGTGCAATCAATGTTCAAATGTCTATGGAAATCTAATTTGTCAAATTAATAAGCTTTTGCTTTATTTATTACATAAATAAAATGTGGATATTTAGAGGAATGCTATGCAAATATAAATGAATTGGAGATCAAAGTAAAAATAGTGGTGATCACGCACATAAGCAGCCCTTTGGGGGTTATTAAAGAATATATGAACATTAAAAACAAGACACGAAATATGTTTGATGTTGCTGACAGCTAGTAGAAGTAAAACTCTAGAAATGCCTGTTAATGAAGGGAAAATGAAACAAGCTACAATGCCCACTGAAACATGGTAAGATCCTACAGAAAACAACATAATCACTTTAAAACAAGTAGTGTAATGGGAAGCAAAGCAGATGGTTTTATGAAAGTGTTTATCTCTTTTCCCTCATCCCAGTTGTTCTTTCTTTTTGAGCAGGTTCTCTCCCTTTCACAACATGTAGCTTTTAGATTTGATTTACTCTTTCAGGTTCTTACACTAGGGAGCTTTTAGATTTGATTTACTCTTTCAGGTTCTTACACTAGGGAGACAATATGGTGTTTATACGTGTGGGTCTGATTTATTTCACTTATGAGTATGGTCTCTAGTTGCATCCATTTACCTATGAAAGCCTAGAGTTTATTTTTCTTTATAGCTGAGCAATACTCCATTATGTAGTTTGTTAATAGGTGTTCATTCTTTTAGCTTAATAAAATAAAATAAAATAAAATAGTATTTATTGGCTACTGGTAGAATTAATTCTTAATAGAGATTTTGCCTGAAAAGAAACTATGAAGTATTATTGAGCAGGTAAAAGACTAAGATAAAACAAGGCACGCTGGTGCACTCCTGAAATCTCAGCACTTTCTATGACTGAGGTGGTAGAAGGATTACAAGTTTGAGTCCAGCCTGGGCAAGACTGTCTTAAAATGAAAATATTAAAAGGGCTAGGAATGTAGCTCAGTGCAAATGTCTTGGGTACAATTCCCAGTATTGGCAAGAAAGGAAGGAAACAAGGGAGAGAGGGAGGAAGGAAAGGAAGGAAGAGAAAGAGAGAGATGGAAGGAAGACAAGAAGGAAGGAGGGGAGGAGAAAGGAAGGAAGGAAGTAAAGAGACAGAGAAGGAAGGAAGGAAGGAAGGAAAGGAAAGAGACAGAGATGGAAGAAAGGAAAGAAGGAAGGGAAGGAGGGAGGAAGGAAGAAAGGAAGGAGGTAAAGAGATAGGGAGGATGAAGGAAGGAAGGGAAAGAGACAGACAAGGAAGGAACAAAAGAAGGAACGAAGGGAGGAAGGAGGGAGGGAAGGAAGGAAGGAGGGAAAGAGACCGAGAAGGAAGGAAGGAAGAAGGAAGGGAGACACGGATGCCTGTAAGTGATGGAAAGGATGTTAGAGTGACGAAGCCACTGAGGACGCAGGAGAGGGAGGGTGAATAAAGGATGCGGTGAGGACCCTAAGGTAAGGGGAGTTGGGGTTAGGTGTGAACGTGCAAACTTGGGCTGTGAGATGTGGGCCACTGTCTGTGTTCTAATGAGAAGGAAGAATAGGACAATGGAATTGGATATAGAAAGATGGACAAATTGATCATGAGACGGTGATGGGACTCCCATGGGATTTGTTGTACGTATTTTGGAAAACAAGGTTATAGGCTGATTTTGAAAAGAACTGGGGCAGTGTGATATTTAAGCAGGAGAGAGAATAAATAAAATTTATCTCAGTGGGGAAAGTAGGAGAGTGACTTTACCAGCAAGCATTTACTACCGGCTCCTTTTAAAGTAATAAAATCCATGGGCAAGCATTCAAAATCTTAAGATTTTGGTAAAATTTGAGTGTGATAAAAATATAGCACATAAACTATTTTATAATGCCTTCAATTACTAAGGAAACTCTCACAGTGATTCTACCATGTATAGTTTAATGGCAGATATTAGAATTAACAGTCATTAAAATAAGTTACTGCTGAACGTTTTGTCACTAAGAGCAGTTTTCCTCAAAGGGTGGGAGCGTCGAGACATACATTTCCTACTGTTGAGAAAAATAAAGCAATTTTCTCTAATGAGTTTAGAACTCTGGTCAGTGACACCAGTGTTTCATTTACTGAATTTTTCATGTAGTTCCATGTCAGAAAGACCTGCAACTGAACTTTTCCATCCCCTCCTCACCCCAGCCACCCAACTCCTCCTTTCTTTCATGTCTAATGTGGGACCTCCAAACCCACAGCTGCCATAACCAGCGAGCTTTGTTTCCTTCACCCTACACGCCCCCCAACTCCCCGGGGGCGGGGGCCACATCTCACTATCACAGACCTCATATTTTCTGCTTCCGTTTGCAGGCTATGTAATTGTTTAAGAGACAAATTAAGGTTTCACTGATACTCAAAATGAATGGCCTTAGCTGGCTTCCTCACTTCTTTTGGGAGACCAACAGGTTTTGCAAAGCTGTTCCAGCCTAGATGATTTACCTTTTAGTCCAAGATAAAAACCAACAGGGGTTCCCGCTTCTTCTGACCCCACACCTAGTTTTGTGATTGCCAAATGCTCTCTGTCCCTAAGCTCCTGGTTCTGAAGCGTTCTCCAGCCTTCCACCTGTGCTTTGGACTCGGCATAGTCCAAAAACTTGGGCAATGAATGGTCTCCCTTTCTGTTCTTTTTTTTTCCTTCTGCTCACTCGCTCTTTCTTATTTGCTGTCAAACACAGCTCACTCTTCTTTCCTCATCTTCCTGCTGAACTCAACCTACCATAACATCTATGCACACATCTAACTTTCAAGGGTCCTGTCCTCTCTTCATCTCTTTAATATTAAACTTCTTGGGGGAAAGACTGCCAACAGAATGCAGCAATAGTATCTGTGTCATCTGTGACTTTATAACTTCCTGGAAATAAGTCGTATTCATAGCACAATAGAAATCCCCGCCTATGCAGCGCTTCTCAAAATTGGATGTGCCTGTGAATCACTGGGGGTTATAGTTAAAATGCAGATTTTGTTCCATAAACTTGGGATACAGCCTGACATTATGCATTTTTAATAAGCACCCATTGGGTGGGTGTGGTGATTGGTGCATAGACCATGATTTGAAATGAAAGCTTCTAATGGGTCATTATTCAACCAGTTGTTAATTTTTTTTCCATGTGCCACCATTTAAAGCTCCAAATTAAAGTCTTTTCTGTGCATTTCCATCTCCTTCCACTCTTACTCCTTGCTGTTTGGCTTTCTGAGTCATCACTCTACTCAGTTGGTGCTCACTAAGTCTCTGAGGCATGACATTCAGTAGATTTTTCCACCACTATCTTACTGGCTACCTCTGCTAAATTCTACACAGTACACTACTCACTTAATAAAATGGACAATTATGGCTTCTGGGAAGAGATATTCTTTCAGTAGCATTATTGGATAACGTGGTGCTCTGCCTTAGAAAAAGGAAAGTTATAAGAAGATTTAAATATTTGCTTTTTGGCCATGTTGCTGGAAGGCACGGGAAGTTTCAGGCCAAAGAAGTGAGTATGTGAACCAATATGGAGCTGTTACAACACCAGCCCAATGCAGAGGACTCAATGGTACCCAATCAGAGTTCTCGCTTAGATATTTCTCTTAGGCATGCTTTAGAAACAAAACCGCAAATACCTGCTGTGTCTGGAAGTGCTAGTACAGGAGAATATAGTTCTTCTCAGAGACCAGCTGTATTATTGGCCAGTTGTGAATGATCTGTCTAAAGATAGGTGATCTGTTTTGACTTTAGTTTAGTGCATGGTGACAGACATGGATCTAGTTTTAGATTTCAGCATGTGGAAAGCCAGTTTCTCTGGTACCTCTTATTAAAGAGGCTATCTTTCTTCCAGTGGACTTGTTTGGCTCCTTTGTCAAAAGCTAAGGTGGGGGCTGGGGATTTAGCTCAGCAGCAAAAGCGCCTGCCTGGCAAGCGGAAGGTCGTGAGTTCGGTTCCCGGTACCGGAGAAAAACCAAAAAATAAAAAAATAAAAAATAAAAGCTAACGTGGCTGAGCATGCGTGTAGTTGTGTCTGCATCTTCTAATCTGTTCCATTGATCCTCAGGTCTGTTTTTTGCCAGTACCATGCTGATGTTATCACAGTAGCATTGTAGTATAATTTCAAGTCAGGGACTGTGCTGCCTCCTTCCTTTCCTTTGTTGTCCAGGACTGCTTTTGCTATTCTAAGCCTCTTCTGGTTCCAGATGAATTTTAGGAATGTTTTCTCTAGATCTGTGAGGTGTACTAATGGTATACCATTTAACTGGTATTGCATTGAATCTGCACAACAATTTTGGGAGTATGGCCATTTTCACAATGTTGGTTCTTCCTATTCACGAGAAAGGAATATCCATTTTCTGAAATTGTCATTGATCTCTTTTTTCAAACTACTGTAATTTTCACTCAACAGATCTTTTACTTTGTTTTTTAGATTGATTCCTAACTATTTAAACCTGTATCTTTTTATTGTTTTTGCTTTGTTTTGCTTTTTTCTATGTTGTCGGTATTTTGCTATTGTTCTTTATTATTATTATTATTCTCTTTAAAATAAATAAAAAAGATAGGTGATACATGGATTTTCATTTTAGCTTCTGTAGCCAGGTTTGCCAGACAGTCCTGGACTGTATCAGCACAGGTAAGTGGAATTCTTTCCTCTTTCCTTTATTTCTCTGTGACTTAAGGTAACTTGATTTTAGTTTCTTTTCTGTGCAACAAAAAGTTTTGACCATAAGTTTTTTCACAATGCAAGTCTGTAATCAACAGAAAAAAAAAAAAAAAAAAAAAAACTGAGTAAGGTATTAGTTCAGTAATTGCTTATTTAAGTTTTAAAACTATGCAATTTGATAATGGAGAAAACAATGAAGTAGTCATGTTTTCAACATGCAAAATGTTAGCTAACATCCTACACGTATGTAGGAATCAATGCATGGGAAAAACAGAGCTACACTGCATTTTATGGACAAGTTTCAAGTGGTTGAAATAAAGTAACCCAACACAAACAAATTTAAGGAGATAAAAGTGCTAATTAAGCAGATCTGATCATTACACATCAAATAAATATCAAATGATCAACACTCTAGACATAAATGCATTAACTTTTAAAAGTAAAAGAAGAAAGATTTCTTTATCCTTCTTTCCTTAAATAAAAAAAAACCAACAATGCCTGTACAGAAAAATAAACAAAAGTTCCTAAGAGAAAAATTCCCTGATGAAATTAAGAAGGTAAAGAAATTTAGCTTTTCTTCTCTTTTATTGACCATTGATCTTGCCACAGGAACTTTAACTTGTTATGGGATATTTTTAAAATTTTTAGTTGAACAAGAGAAGGTGAAACACTATATAAAATTTAATCTACTCATTCAGGAATGTTCTGTGTCTGATATCACCTGGGTAGGTAAATGTATTTTTTAATGTTTTGCCGTTTCTAGATGTTATGCAAATCTGGAAGAATTTTGCCACTTTTCGGTATATTGTTCATCTTCAAATATTCCTATAGATATTTTAGTGAGTTCTTTTACCTGTTTCCTCAATTCATTTATTCTTCAATTCATGAGATGTGGTATGGTAAGTCATATGCACAGGGCTTGTAAATGATAATTATTTAGCTATGATCACAAATGGTTAGCCTTTCTTTTCAGTGGTGTATTTTCTAGAAGTTTATATGTGTCACTTTCCTGTCACTGGGACAAAATTTCCAGTAACCCCAACTGAAAAGAAGAGAGGTCTATGCATCACAGTTTCCAGCGGGCTGAGCCCAAAGTCACCTGGCACCAACGCACAAACAGCAGGCTGGAAAGGCCTGAGAGGGGGCAGCTGCTCATCCAGGAAGGAGAGAGAGAAGGAAGGAACCAGAGACGTAAATCCATCCTTCCCAATCGCGCCGCCGGGGTCCGCCTCCAACCAGGACCCGCCCCCTAGCACACATCACCTGTGAGCTCCATGATGCTGTCACCTTCCAAATACATGAGAGTTTGGGGTGACAATTTAGACCTAAACCATCAGCAAGCTTACAGAGCAATACTACCAACATTTGGTGTTTCAAACACACCTGCCTTACTCTTGCTGTAGTGATAATGTTGTTCACGCCTTATTACCAGTAATAGGCCCTGTGATTTGCCTGGAAATAGTCTTCTGAATGATATTTTGTTGAAATTACTTCCTATTCTTAATTGAGTGAGCCATTCTATTAGATAGGCACACATGTTGAAATTTGTCAAATTGGTTCATTTGATAAGTTTTTTTACCTTCCATTAGTTAATTCATATAGATATCCAAATATAAAAATTTATATCTGAATTATCATTATCTGATTATTGAAAAGTGGGCAGGCAGACATCATAATCAAGAAAGTAATTATTGGTATATATTCAAATAAAGAATACTGCAAAATAAAACACATTGCTATCAATCTCCCCTGAAACACTCGCCCTCACATCAAACACAGTTATCCCATCCTTCCTGGCACTGTGACTTTAAGTGACAATTTTTTTTATTTTAAAGAGAAAGAAACAATAAAATAACAACAACAA